ATAATCAAATTCCCAGTTTATTTTTAGATTTTAATGGATATAACTTGAAATAGGTAATAGATCTATTTATTAAATTTTTCATTTCTGAAATAGGTACTAAATGGAACGCTAATGAAGTTGCTGAGAAAGTATTGTTGAACAACAAAATATAAAACACTTTAATGACTACAAGAATAATTTTTTTTTCATGTTTGGAATTTTTTTAAATTTTTTTTTACACTTTTATCAGATATAAAATTGATTTATTGTACGTTTTATAATGGTCTCAATTTAAACAATGATATTGATATACATATTTCATACAATATTATTTATATTACATACTATAGGCTATCCCGAATAATAATATTATAATATTATTATTCGGGATAGCCTTCTAACCATTCAACCTTAAAGTTTATATTCATTTTACTATTTTTATTTTTTTTATAAATCGCAGTGTATTGATTTTTTTATAGTTCGTATTTCATATTTTTTTTTAACTTTACCATTTTTAACTTCGTAATAATATTAAATTGTTGTTTACATCTATGTTGTATAAGTACAGTATGCTTTGGGCAACTATTCATAATAAATAATCATATAAATGTGAATTGGGAAATTTATTGGCGCATTTAATGTCAGTGAAAGAAACACTGGTTTTTTTCCTTGTCTAAAGGGCTAAATTTTTAATCACCGGCACAAGGTACCTAAAAATAAAAGCAGACTCGGAGGAGGTCCACACAGTAAAAACGTGACCGATACCGACAGCAATGGAACGTCGTGAAGAAAGACAAACACCGTTGCACGTTGCTTCTACAAATCGTTACGACCGTACGTATAATACATCGCGATTGTGCTACCAAACTATTCATACCATTCAATGAATTTTCAATGGGATTCGGTGACAGTTGTTCAAAATGTTCATAAGACCTATTAGCATAAAATACATTTTACAACCACCGTATTTTTTTAAAATGTGAAATTTAAAAATGCATAATGATTATGATCAAAAGAGTTATAATTAAATATTTAAAATAATAATCGTAAATATTTATGAAAAACATTTAATTTGTAATTATAAAACGAAATTTCACATTATTTCCATATTTTGTTTGAAAACGTTTAAATATTACACTTTCTCGACGTACATTCATACAGGTAGGTAACCAAAAATACATAAATTGTACATTACAAATATGTACCTATTTAACGTGCTTGTAACACTATATCAATTTGATATAAAATTGATTATGAAAAAATGTAATTTTACTTTTAATTGTATGACTTTTGGTGTAAAGGTGCTTCTTATAAAATTACTATGATTTCTTGTAATAGTGGTGAATTATCATGCATGTTGTCCAATTTGACTTTTAATCCTGAGCATGCATACATTTATAAATTAGAATATAATTTTTTTTTGTCTTTGAAATATATTTATGCGTGGGTAATCAATATTTTGATTATAGTTATGGGCCTCTAAAATTGTTTGGCCACGGGCCCCAAATTATCATAATTTGGGCTTGGCCAATCATAAGCGACATAGGCGCAAATTCACTTAGTACTTTGGGGGTGCTCAAGTTCCTCCAAAATTAACTTATCAGTAACCCGTGGGGGGCTTTGACACTCACACTCCTCATAAATCTTAAATAATTTCTGCCAAATCTTTAAAACAAATATTAAAATAAACAGAAACAAATTCATGAAAATAAAAATTTACTTATAAAATAATAATAGGTACATAATATAATCAAGTATTTTATTATATAATAGTAAGTCGAAACAGCACAATGATCATTAGTTATATCATTAGTATATCATTAGTTATCTGAAAAATAAGTACCTAATAATTTGTTTTCTCAGTAATATCTAAATATAGACATAAAATATTTTAAGTAAACGATATATTATGAATGATGATAAGTATTATTTATTTCTAGAATATATTGGCGATGTTAAACACCCTTTTAGGACATTTTAGGGCATTTTAGCCTATGATAAGCGAGCACAGCGAACTGCAATTTTTTCGATAATACAAAAAAAAAATGTGGGCCGTTCAAATCTTCTCCGTTCGGGCCGAAGTACACTCAGTCCGCCCCTGGTCGGGCCGCGAACGGGTTGTCGGTGGAAAAAAAACGTGAAAATCAACCGGTCGTAGACGATCCGTTTGTCGAACCGAGACGCGCACGCGTCGCCGCACGACACCGTAATTTCAACGGCGCCGCTCGGGGCCGCCGTACGCAATTGATAAGGTTCGCCGCCGCCGGTCGTCGTCTCGCGCGTGACGTGACGTCATCACGTACCACGCACGCATGTACGCTCACGTACCACGCACGCACGTACACGATCACGTACACGCGCGACCGTTCTCACCGCGGCGGCAGAAGCGCCCCGGCGGCGGATATCACACGGTCGCGCGCGCGCGTTACCACTTATTACCACTACCACTACTACTACTACTACTACTACTACTACTACTACTATTGCTGCTGCTGCAGCTGCTGCTGAGACAACAACGGCGGCGGCGTGTGCTACTCTACGACGCACGACTATTATTATTACTATTATTGTTCACCCTCGTCGTCACTACCGCCCCGCACCTTCACCGCCCGACCAGAGCCGTCTTGACTCGGCCGCCGCCACTGAAACCACTGTAGTGTGCACTCGGTAACACACCGGATGCGGCGGGGTTCGCGGTGATAGTATCGGTTTATTGTTTTCGTTTCGTTTTCGGTCTTTTCGTTTATCATTTTTTTTTTTTTTTTTTGTGTCCCGTACACTTCTTTACATCTTTTCTCCTGCCCTACGCCGTCGTTAATTATATTTTCGAGATTCGCGGTGCGCCCTACACCGCTCATCACACCTTTGGCCGTTCGCGCGTCCGTCATCGTCGTCATATCCATCGTCGTTCGGCGTAGTCTTCGGATCCCGCGAGATGCCCCGTGCTCTGTCCACGTCGGTTCGGCAACACCAACAGCAGCACCGGCAGAATTCGAGGTAAGAACTTCACCGCGCTGACACTCAGCCGTTTCGCGTATCGTTGCATACCGTCTCGTTAGTGGTGGAGTAGTTGTGTTTGAATGGGTACTCAGTTGAGAGGGCTCACCAGTAGAAACCGGTGAAAATCGTGCATGTTTGCACTGCTTCGTAGTCATCGCGGTTACGTGCAGACCAGCCACTTCGACGATGCTCTATTCATAAAAGGTTTATATATATATAACAATAGTTAAATCTCTCATTTGTTCAGTCATTATTGTTGTATGTACAATGATTGCATTTCATTTGAATTTCAGCTGATCATAATTTGTTATAATTATATAGTACTTTACCCATTATTTTAATGTACTTGCTTTCAATGAGAGAATAATTTTATTTTTAATGATCGTGTTCTTAGTAATTCATTGATAGTTCCAACCATATCTTATATACGATATTTGTGCTCAAAAATGTACTAACCACTTAAAAACATCTGTATTCAATCAATTTTGTTGTTCACATTTGTCTAAAACATAACATGTCAAACAATGCTTTTCATTGTATAAGTTTATTGTTGTTTATAACTATAAAGTCAAAGCTTTAAGATTCTTTAAAGTAATTGGATGATTTTGCATTTAATTTCTAGATATTTGTCTTTATTTACATAATACTCAAAAATATTTAAATAAAATCCTTATTAATTAAATATCTGCATAAATATTATATAATACATATAAAAATAAATATTTAATTAGTTTTAATATTTGCTTTACTTGATTTCACCTTTTAATAACTATATGGTAAATCTACACTTTCTAACTTATGACTAATAAGTAGGTATCATTTTTCTTTGAATCATATTATTTCCATTCTATATACATCGATGAATAATTGTTATTATTACATTCATTTTTATTTAATTAGTATCTGATTCTGTTTATTAAGTTTCAATAAAAACTAAATACTTTTTTAATAAGTATTTATCAATTAATTTATTTAGCAAATTTTAAATAAATATTTATATTTCAATATATTTGGTTTATTAGTTAAATATTTGGGTATTTAAATATATTGATAATATTGATTATATATATTTATAATAAGTATAATTGTTAATTTTTGATATAAATAATAATAATAAATTGTGTTGATTCAACGAATATATAATTATATAATTATAAATAGTAAATGTGTATTTAACCCACTTATTAATATTTGTATTTATCTTTTAATTAATTTAATGATAAATATTCTGTTAAGTAGCATGCATTTCTAAATTACACTTATATTATTTAATAGAATGTTTTCTTATTTAGTTTTTGTTCTCCTTTCACTACATATTAAATATTTTTATAATATCTACACATACTCACACGTTCTATTAAGTATGATATAACATTTTGTATTTAGTTTATTAATTTAGTTTCACTTTAATATATTGTGTTATTTTGAATAACCTATTTTTAAATTAAATTGTATTGTATTTATATGTAATTTGTTCAGTTCAAGGAACATAAAATGACCCTTGGCTGAATAATAATCTTATCATGAGTTATTAAAATGATTTGTATTATATTCGTTTTAATATTCGTACATTTAATGTTTACAATAACAAAGAATTTGTTTGAAAACATAAAATAGTTATGGGTAGACAATATAAAAATAGATATTTAAAAAAATGATAATTTCTGTATTTCTTGTTTTATTTTATTAAATTAATGAAAATCCATTTGTTTAGCAGAGACAAGTAAAAATTATTCAGAGTACAATGTTGAATTGAACTGTTCATTTTAAATTATTTTAATTTAAATTAATTTTAAATTAAATCTAGTTTGTGAAAATTAATTTTAAGATACAGATTCATATTTTTAATTTGCTGAATTTTCTAAGCCCCTACTATCGATTAAAAAATAAAAAATAATTTTTTGTATAGATATTTGTACGTCTAACGTACTATTTATAGTTTATATTGTATATTAATATTTTAAATGAATAATTATTTTTTTTTTTCAGATTTTACCTTATAATATATAAACAATAAAAGTGAAATCAATAATTTTAAATTATTGTAATCAAGGTTTGAAAATCATTTAATTAATATGGTGACAAACAAAACAAAATGACTTCAAGTGATCTTGCTCAAAAACCGTTTTACTGTCGGGAATGGGTGTTTCAAAAATTATTACATTGTTTTGATCAAAGAAGCAACTGGAAAACATGTGGAGCACTACTAGTAGGTGGTGCCGGTTGTGGGAAGACTGCATTATGCTGTGAAATTGTTAATCCGACTGGTAGACAACAACGTGCTTTAAACAGAAGGCTTTTAGCTTATCATTTTTGCCAAGCTCAAAATATTAACACATTATCAGTTACGCATTTTATTCAGAGTTTGGTTTCACAGTTATCTGATTCATTGCCCAAATCATACAAAGAGAGATTAAAATCTGACCCATTGATACAAGATTCTTTGTCTCCAATCAACATAGTAAAAGATGCTGATGATGCATTTAAGAAAGCTGTTGTATTTCCTTTACTAGATCTTGAGTTACCAAAACATACCATGTTTCTTTTAGTCGATTCAGTCGATGAAGGACTACATACAAATGATAGATCTGATCCAAAATTGAAAAATAACTCAAGTAAAACTATAACAGAGCTATTAGCTACGCACCATCATTTATTTCCACAGTGGTTGATGCTTATTTGTACAACTCGAAGACAAAATAAAAATGTTGCTCGTATGTTCTCCGGATTTAGGAAAATTTGCATTGATGACCTTCGTAAATCACAAGTATGTTTTATGTATTTATAATATTTGCATTATATGAATTAAACCACTGGTTCTTAAACTGGGGGGCATGTACATATTGCTGAGGAGGTGTAAATAGTTATTACGAAATACAATTTTTATTGATTAATTCTGAATATTGTATAGTTTATTTGTAAAGTACACAAATAAAAGGAGATAGATTTTTTCAATTTATAGGAGATGGGGGAAGAATGCGAGATTTTTGTAAGTCTACAAAGGAGTTGTAGAATAGAAGAGGTTGGGATAGGAACCACTGTTTAAACCATTAGAAATTCTAACTTCATAAGTTCCAGTTTTTTTATTACTTAGATTTTATTTTAACATATTAATAACTACATTCTTATTTTCACTTAATAATTATAGGTTGTCAGAGATATTCAACAGTACATTTTGAGCCGTCTGGAATCTGAAGAATCATTACGTCAGCATATGAGTAGAGATACAGCTGAAATGTTGAATCAGTTACATATCAAAAGTAATGGTTGCTTTCTATATTTGGAAAGAGTATTAGATGGAATATCTGATGGTTGTGTAGTGCTGAGGGAAATTAAAGACATTCCTGGAACACTAAATGGATTGTATTTATGGTTTTGTCAGAGGCTTTTGAGTTCAAAACATTTTTCAAAAGTAAATATTCCTACAAAATTAAAGAATGCGGATTCGTATTACTAAATTATTATTATTATTTTTATTTCAGGTTCGTCCATTATTAAATGTTATCTTAGCATCTCCTGAACCTATATCAGAAGAAGAATTAAGTAATATTATACATAATGCTTATCGATACATGTCTGCTGAAGAATTTCACAAACGATTTAATTTATTGAGAAGAATATTTTCTTTACCGAGAGATTCAAAAATAATACAATTTCACCACAGTTTTGGTGAATGGTTCCTTGATGTTAAACATTGTACTAGAAGGTTTTTGTGCTCTGCTAATGAAGGACATGCTATGATTGCTATGCATTATACAATGAGGTATATTTACTGTAATATTATTAATAAAATTATTGTTCTTACAATTGGTACATATAATATACTTTTATATATGTATATAATATTAAATTTAGATGTTCAAAACCTCTAACATATGAAGACACTCATATATTGGCTTTCCATTTATCAAGAATAAATCCATTACCAGTTTGGACAAATTTTTCTGATTCAAATTTATTGCCATTATTATGGCTGATCGATTGTGGAGCTCCAATTTCTGACAGTATGACTATTCCTTGTTATGATAGAAGAGCTATTAATTTTTTGGAAGAGGCAAATAATTGTTTTCAATCAGATATTGATTTGAAATCTGATAAGGTAAATTGTATATTTTATTATTTAAAATTATTTTATGTGTTTAACTTATATTGTTTCATTTATTTTTTAGTTTGATATAAATTCTGTCTTGTCGCCCAAAATTGAAAAAAGTACAGTACTTAATTCAAGTACTATATTACCATCAAATTTATATGAAGTAGATATTAATGGTAGAAACACTTTACATTTGCTTGCAATGGATGGCAATTTAACTGTTCTTCATGATATTTTAAAAACTCATCCAGATATAAATTTAGAACTAAATGACAACAATGGGCAGACACCACTTAATATAGCTGCACGTCATGGTTATCTTGAAATTGTAGAGGTATAAAAAAAATAATATATAATAGTTTGAGTTATTAACCATATGATGGAAAACTTGTAATTCGTTATAAATATGATAAATAATATTCAATTCATAATAACTATTAATATAATTATGTAAAATATGTGCCTTAAAATCAATATAAAATTAATTTAAATAATACAATTTTATTTTAAACAATCAACAATAATCTGTTTCAAAAATTTTCATTTAAGCTTATGATTAAATAAATTACACTATTGAATGTTCATCATGTATAAAATGTACAAATATATTATATCAGTCGTTTATAACCTTTTTGGGTCCATGGCTCATTTTAATTTAAAAATAAAATATATGGCTCCCATTCAAAAATTTAGAATAAATAAATTTACATTATTTAATCTAACTTTATTTAATGATGAAATAAACATGTAATTGTTAATAATAGGAAATATATTCATGAGATTTATTTTTTTACAATTAAAAATTAATACAATATTAATAATTTTAATATTTAATGAGACGGCTTTATTTTTTTTTTGTTGTATAATATTATCAAATTGTAGCATACATTTTGAAAGTGTGATTTTTAGTTCCTTTTCGGTATTCAGTCTTAATCTATATTTAGTTTTAATAACTGCTAAGGTTGAAAACCTGTTCCACCTAACCAGGGTTTGGATTTGAAAACAATATAATCAAAAAAAAAAGCAATTTTAAATGTCAAAAAAGGCATTTAATTTATATAAAAAAAAAACTATTAAAAAAAAATACTTCAAAATTAAATAGACTAACTAGTTAGTAATAAAAAAAAATTCAGTATCATGTTCTTAGATAAGCTATCTAAAACTAAAACGGTTTGGGCATAAAATATTTTTCTACATAGAAAATGATTTTTTGGCATCCACCAAAGTTATTGGGGAGTACTTCATATATAAATAATAATAACTAATAATTTACTAATAATTTTAAACATAATATCGACAATGCACCGTTTTCACAAGCTCTAATTGATTTGTACCGATAATACCTAAGCTGTGTAAAAAAATTTTATATCAATTGAAAAATCAAACACAAAAAAATTTATGAGTAAAAAAGGCAAAAAAAAAAATACATCCATTGTTTTGGATATTAAATGGAACATATTTTAATATAAAAATTATTTTTCTATTATTATTAAAAAAAAAGGCTTTTGCCTTCAAATCCGAACTCTACACATAAGTATGAAGAAAGAAACAGAATCAAAGTTCTGATAGCTTTATTGGTTACCATAGGTTACTGCTTTATAGTTATCCGAAATTCTGGTAAAGATAAAATATTTTTCGTTTGGTCTAGTTAATTTTCCATAAAAAATATAATTATTAAATGATTTTTACTAAGAAAAATTAATAATAATATTTATAAAGTTATGTTTAATTTAAAAAATAATAATACGAAATACTACTTACTTAATAGTTGTTATATTTAGTTATATTTGTTATATTTACTCTGTTCCAGCTCCTATTAAAGTACAATTGTAAAGTGGATCATGCGGATATTGAAGGATGGACTGCTTTGAGAGCTGCAGCTTGGGGAGGTCATTCACAAGTAATGCATACATTAAATCTATAAATTAAATTAAACCTATAAACTATTAATTTTTATTTTATGATACTTAGGTGGTAGAATTATTACTTAAACATAAAGCTGATGTTGAATGCTCAGATTGCGAAGGTCGTGGAGCATTACGCGCAGCAGCTTGGGGAGGTCATGGTGAAGTTGTTGTGAAACTGCTAGAAGCTGGAGCAAATCCCAATACTACCGATGGCGATGGTAGAACTCCTTTAATTGCTGCTGCATATATGGGTCATGCACATATTGTTAGTAGATTGTTAGATAATGGAGCAAATATCAACCATCAAGATAGTGATGGCCGTACAGCCTTAAGTGTAGCGGCTTTATGTGCACCTACTAATGGAGGATATGCTAAAGTTGTTACATTATTGTTGGAATCTGGGGCATTTGTTGATCATGAAGATAAAGACGGAATGACTCCTTTACTTGTTGCTGCATTTGAAGGCCATAGGTACTAATAAAAATAATAACTGTTTAGGATAAATGCTTTTTATTTTAATAAATTTATAAGTTTAATATATAATATATTTTTAGAGATGTTTGTGAAATTCTATTAGAGGCAGAGGCTGATGTGGATCATTGTGATAAGTTAGGCAGAACACCCTTATGGGCTGCTGCATCAATGGGACATCCTGCATGTGTTTCTCTCTTATTATTTTGGGGTTGTTATGTGGATAGCATTGACAATGAAGGGCGTACAGTACTCAGTGTGTCTGCAGCTCAAGGAAATAATGTTGTAGTATCTCAGTTACTCGATAGAGGTATAATTATATTTTTATCTGTATTATACATTTTTCTCCTTATGTTTCAATATTGTTAACTTAGATAATTTATATTATCTTTAATATTGATATATTACATTTTTCATTGGTGTAATAGTCATAGAAATATTTGTTAATTATATTAAATTTTATTTATTTAGGTCTCGATGAACAACATAGAGACAACTCTGGTTGGACGCCCTTGCATTATGCTGCTTTTGAAGGCCATCTAGTTGTTTGCAGAACATTATTAGAGAGCGGAGCAAAGATAGATCAAACCGATAATGATGGTAAACCACCATTAATGTTAGCTGCTGAAGAAGGGCATTCAGATTTAGTCAGAGAATTTTTAAAAAATTATGGTGCTCCTTCTGATCAAAAAGCTCATGATGGTAGAACTGCAATAAGGTATTATTACTGTTAAATTAATTTTATATTTATATGTATATATGTAATGAATATAAGTTAACGGTTATTACTTTTTTGTTTGAATATAGATTAGCTGCATTAGAAGGTCATATTGAAGTAGTAAGAAGTCTTGTGGAACATGGAGCTGATGTAAATAAAAAAGATGCTGATGGTCGAAGTACTCTTTATGTTCTAGCTCTTGAAAACCATTTAGCAATGGCTAAGTTTTTTATTGATCCAGGTGGTGCAGATGTTGAAAGTACAGATTATGAGGTGTGTATTACACATATTTTTTAAATTTTAATTTTATGTGGTATTTATAATATTGATTACAATTATTTTCTCACTAAAAGATTATTATTAATTAGTTATTGTTATTAAAATATAATTTTTTTTTTATTGAAAAACTGAAAGATTATTTAAATAATATTATTTATTGTGATTTGTAATTATATTATAATAAAATTATAAAATAATAATTAGACATAAACTAGTTTTTAAAAATTGGTAACTTTTACTAGTTAATTATGTAAAGCTATTTTAAATAAATTATTATAAATATTACCAATTAATTATTAATTATTGTCAAATTGGGTTTATATTATTAAATTATTTTTTAAATTTTCAATTATAAGATATTCATTAGTACATAATATTTTAATAGTATGTATAATTCTTGGTAAGTATCAGTTAAGTTATAGAAATATTTTTAATAGTGTTAAATTTTTAATCAAAAATATATTATATTTTAGGGCCGTACTGCATTGCATGTTAGCTGTTGGCAAGGTCACTGTGAAATGGTATCATTATTGTTAAAACTTGGAAAAGCTAATTTAAATGCAACTGATAATGAAAATAGAACTCCACTACATTTGGCTGCTTGGCAAGGTCATTCTGTTATTGTTCGAATGTTGATCGAACATGGCGCTAGTGTAAATCATGCATGTAACCAAGGAGCAACAGCATTAGGTAATTTAATGTATACATTTCCATTTGGTATTAGTTATTTATTACATAAAGATTTCCCAATAATTTCTTTTAGCTAATTATGAATATTTTTGAAAATTAAATTAATGTACTAAATAATGTTGTACACATGTATATTATTTGATATTAAAATTTTTAATGGAAATGAGAATATTTAATTTTTGATTAATATAAATTATTAAATATTGAATTTATAGTTGTTTTGATTGTTGAAATAATTATTTTATTAATTTAAAAATATGAATTGTAGGTATTGCATCTCAAGAAGGTAATGAAACGTGTGTTCGATTGTTATTAATGCAAGGTGCAAATCCATTGGTATCAGATCATTGCGGCCGGAATGCAATAAAAATTGCTGCCAAAAGTGGTCATGACAATATTGTTAAGCTTCTTGAACAATTTTGTCCCATAAAAACTGAAAGTAATATTATAAGTTGCCTTATAAGATAATATTAGGTAATATTAAATAAAATATTGTTCTAGGTAATGGATTTAATACAGCTAATACGTCTTGTGGCTCAGGTTCAACTACTGAAACTAAACCATCTTCTGCAATATTAGTTAATCCATTATTATCTAGTAACAATCATGCTCCTATACATGACTCATCACCTATTGAATCTCCAGATTCAACAGCTAAGCGAACATCATTTGTTTCTAATTATAGCAAATCCAGTTCTAATTTAACTGACAGTACCAAAAGTTCTCACCAAGATTTACCGACCCAAGTAAATGTTTTTTCTTGAACACTAAAATTATTTTAATCATTCTGAATGGTAAATAATGTTATTTTTCCATAGTTGACACCATTGACATTTACTCAAAAACTACAGCAGTGTAGTCGCCGTGTAAAGTCAAGACCTACATCTAAAGTTCTTAGTCCATTGCAGAGTCCTATTTATGCAACACCGCCTCATAGTCCTAATATAGAAGAACCATCAGCTCCAAGTATTCAAGGTAAAAAAATTAATCGACCTATTACATTTCTACTTTGGTTTTATTTATTTTACAATATTTTATATTATTTTATATATAATATACTATTATTGTACTCGTATATTCCTTATGTTTATTTTTGAGCTATATCAGTAGTCTATTAATTTCTTACATTAATGTTACTACATCCAAAACTAAGGTCTAGTATAAGTAAATTTTTAATTACCATTATATACAAAAACCTAAAATTACTTTAAATACTTATATTTAAAAATGAAAATTTTTAAAATAATTTTAACGAAAATGTAAAAGTTCATGGTAAATATTCTGTTTGAAAACAAAAAAAAAGATAAAATAAAAAAAAAATATGTTTTTATATATTTAGTTATACTTAGATGAACATTTTAGTATTAAGTGTTGGTATACAATTTAACACAAATGTTAGGTTAATTTTAATTAGTTTTGAAGAATTCTAAGTTCTTCAAGTTTTATGAAAGACAAGCTACATATTGTGTAAGATCAAATTAAAAATACTTTCAAACTAAATAAAATACTTACCATATAAAAAATTACTAGATTAATTTATAAAAATTTAGAATTATCTATTATTGTTTGCTTGCTTACATTTTTATATTATAAATTTACTAATTTTTCTTGACCTTTCCAAATTTCATTATACTAATATATTTTTAAAATATTTGAAATACTTAATATATTTTTTTCAACACGTTTATTAGTATATTTGGTATAAAAATGTAAATTTTAAATCTTTGTTATTATAAATGTATGAATAGTTTTGTTTATTATTTATAATTTTACATGGTTTCAGTGTTAACGGATGATCATTTTTCACGTGATACTCATATGCGAATCATTCTTGGAAATAAAGCAGTGTTAAAGAAATCTACATCTGATTCAAAGTATTTTTAGTTTTGTTTTTATTGTTTTTTTGTTTTATATTAATAATATAATTTTTCTTATAGCAATAGCAAAAATGTGGGAAATCTCAAGCAAAAACGTAATGGCATTGTCACTAATCCAGCATTAAGAATAATGCCAGCTATTCGTAGTGGTTTAGAAATGGCTGCCGGACGTAAGAATAAAACAGCTCATTTACCCACAGATAGTTTTAAATGGCGAAAAGAGACGCCTTTGTAAATATATTAATTATTCAAAGTGAGTTTATATTATAGAGTATTTATTAATGTTGTAAAAAATTCTGTTTTAAAAATGTTGCCATTTTGTTTTAATTTTCAAAGTATGGATTTATAGACTAACCCAAAAATTAAGTAAATAATTGAAAATTACGAATATTCTATTATTAAATGTATTAAGTAATAATTTATGCTTCAAATTTATAGAACTCGTATCTACTTTTTATATTATCAAGTTGATTTAATTTTTGATAAAATATATTTTTATAACTTTTTTTGTGCTCTCAAAAATTGATTGCTGATTAAATAGTTATTATGTTTATACTTTAAATGTGATGTGTATTAAGAACTAAGTATTTGTCTTAATTAATCTATTTTAGATGCAATTATAATTTAGAATCGTACAGAGGTTACATGGGAAAGGAAAAAAGGACTAATTAATTTGTATTTAGTTTTAATGTGTGATTAATTTATGAGTAGTTAAACTGATTTTGTAGTGCAATATGATGTTAGTACATAAATATTTACTTATTTAGCATTTGTAAACTCATGATTCTCACATTGTTAAGACTTTTTTTTTTATTGAAGATGGTACGATTCTGTAATGTCAACTATCAAATCAAGTCTAAATATCATATTATACACCCTTACATACATACTCTCACGCTTATAGTATATATGTGGATATAAAATATGTATATATAGTATTTATTTCGATAATCGTGAATCATACACACATTGTTAAAAAATATAGTATTTGTGATTGGAAAGAGCATACAGTACAATTTCGATATCTAAAAAATCCAAAGGGTTTAAGACAAAAATTCGATATATTAAAGTTTTGAGGTATTAAAATTCAAATAAAATAATACTTAAAAAAAAGTTATCATAACTAACAAATTACTAAGGTAGCCTGATTTAAATAATATTATATAAAAGTACTACGTACAGGTATAATATATATATATATATATATATATGTATGAATTTCGTTTTTAAAACTGTTAAATTTCAGATACATCTGTGCATTGGTGGACATTCGTTTTAAACTACCTTTTTTATGTTTATTCCAATCGATTTAACAAACATTTAGAGACGATGTGTTTTAATTTTAATAGTCATCTTAATCGAAGAAAATAATAACGATAATTGATATAGCGTTTTGATGCAATTCCATTCAGCTTCTCTCTATAAATCGTCAATTCTCAATCGACTCCCATCTCTGCGAATATGACTAAGCAAAGTTTTTCCCACTTAAACAATTTACAATTATTAAAATGTTTAAACGTGAATAATAATCTCGCGTAGTGAGGTTGTAGGTTTTTATACAAAGAACTAGCCTTGAAATTAAGTTGGTAGACTAGTTTTTCCATCTCACCTAGGGACGTAGCACCAAGATAAGATAGAATAGCGTTAAAGTGGTTCCTATACTTTATTCTCACATTTTTAAACATATAAAATAAGATGATATATGACTGCATATCAGACATCAGTGCCGGATCTAGGAAATTTGACGCTCGGAGCTAATAAACTGTAACGCCCTTACGTAAATGGAATTACGGGGTATGTTCATAATTTTTTTATTTTTCATAAACTTTAATAGCGTTCTTATACCAATTGTGCTTGGAGCTAGTACACCCATTTACCTCCGCCCCAGATTCACTGTCGGACATTCGCGTAACACAAACGAGTGCGAGCACTACAACAGATTATAAATGTCCTCAATTGGAGTGGAGCTACGCTATGTATATTTGTGATAGGATTCAATAAATTACCTAACAGCCATACTTGTGTGTTGAGTGCACTATTATAGATTTTCTAACATTTGCACTATTGACGAGTGGTCATTATAGATATTATTACAGATTTTACGTATTAGAAACATTTATAATTTTTCATAAATTATTTAATATTATATAATTATTATTTTACGAATATTAACTACACAAAATAATTTTATTTTTGATATGTATATGTTTTATCATTATCTTACTAAAATGTTGTTCAAAACGCTACGCCGTATGTCACACTCGTCGTTAACCAAACCGTTGTTTGAGATACTATTAATTTTAATAGTTTGTGTTGTGTGTAAGATATATCTGTGTGTGTATATATATATATTTTTTATTTAAATTAATGTCTGTATCTATTAACTTGATGTGTTTAGTAAAGTTTATGAACCACTACTTATATCATCACGTGAGGCAAATAGTATAAACATTTTTGGAAAGTAACTTGTATATTATTTTGAACCACCTGATCAAGAAATTCAGTTAGTTTGAACTTTTCATTTACGATAAAGATGGGAGGCAATTTGTATATTATGAGAGGCAACTAGTAAGCACCGGCAAGTAGGTGTAGCGATCAGCTCTCTATATCCCTCTAAAAAAAAAATTGATGAATTACTTACTAGTTTTTCAATGTCACAGTGATTCGTTGTTGTAAAAATGGGCATTTTCTTTTACTCCTTATGTCATGACCAATCGCACCATTTCAGCGTCAGTTAACTGGGAAACTACCTCAATATTATTCAAGAAAGTTCAAATGTCTTACAGATTGTGGCGTCATGTGCCAACAGTGTTGTGATAATATTATATTGAATAATATAAATTTATTAATTATTATCGAATCTCTAAACTTTTATAAAATTCCTATTTTTTTACTACCATAAGCTTAGAAAAATTTATTTAACTACTACTATTACTAGTACTACTACCACTGTGTTCGACGTAGAAAATTAGAGTGTTCCTTACACTTTTTGATGGTTTAGATTTGAATTCTTAGATCAACAAATTTGAACTACCAAGAGTAATGTTGGTCTATGGTTTTGTTTTCGAAGTAAACATCATGTTTTGGAATCCGAAAAAGTATTGCGCATTGCAGTATTAAAAAAAAAATCGTTTTACGCTCCAAAATCATTTTATCGATTTCAAACAATTATCATTGTTTAAATTCTGGAAACAATAATAAACACCATTAGGGCATGAAAATCATAATTTTTTTTTTCGTGTATCGAGTTTAAAAACATTTATATATATGTATATGTTTAACGCCTCGAACATGAAACTATAAAGCAGCCGTGTAATATTTTATATTTTAAGAATCTTGATTAGTAATTTTTTTATTGTGTTTTAGTTTTATATTATAAAGTTAAGTGTGAACTGTTTGTATACGATACGATTATAATATTAATCTTATGTACTAACAAATTACTTATCCTATCATTTTTTGTTAAATCAACCGTAGAACAGAGCTTGTGTGTTTGACAAGTGTAACTACCGGTTTAAGCTAGAGATAGGCAATCTTTTGACGGTGTATTAAAATACTAAAAGTCTTATATATAATAACTCATTTGTGTTATTATATACTTTTACACGCCAAATGTTCACATATTTTCAGTACGGCATAGTAGGTACATGGTATAAATGCAAGTGTGTATTGGAATTCATTATGATGTTAAACTCATAGTTTCGGTAAAAATGTGTCTTATATTCATGTTTTTATGTACACGTGAAATGGTGATTCTCTAGCTTAAACCGATACAAAACTTTCTTAATCGCACATAACTTTTAATTATTTAAAAAATCTTTCTAGTCTATTATTTTTTAAATTAATTTCTATGAATGAATTGTGTAATCTACTTATCAAACATATTTTTTTCTTATTTTTTTATTTTGTTCTTATTACATAAAATGAATTGTATGCAACAACATTCTTTACAAATAATAACTTTTTTAACTACTTTAAGTTTCTAGTCAATAAATTTGTTAGTACAATTTTTTTACGTCGTTTCTAATGTTTGATGATATATATAATATAAGATAATATTATATGTAATTATATAAGCAGAGTTCAACGGCCGATACTTTTTTTTTTTTTTATACCTAGTTGTGTATAACTCTAATGTGAAGTAGACTGATAGAACTTTTTTAGGAATGCTTGAATTATATTTAAATTAAACGAATGGATATATATTTTAAATAGTATTTTATGTTTTTTTTTCTCTCCCTAATCCTTTGTTTAATTGTACATGCAGTGGTTTCCGAAGAAAACAAGTTATTAAAACTTTAAAATTTAATCAGACATGCGTAAATGTGATAATACACGATTTTAAATGTGGTGATAACTATGAAGTTAATTATTAGGCAATTAATACAAATTAATCTAAAAAATACCTTTTAGATTAGAACGGTAATCATATGTTTATCGTTATTTTCACCAGAACAATTGTTATTAAAACAAAAATAAAGCTGGAATACACCGATGTTAATTATATTACAATACATATTTATATTTTCCCCATAAAAATATTATTAATAGCTACTTCAATGTTATTTCTGATCTTATTAAATCTATGTTCACCAGTGCAGTCAGTGTCGTATTTAGACATTTTGCGCTATGGCGCAAAAAAAAAAAAAATTATTGCCCCTTTAAAGGGCCTGCCCACGGAAAATATAGGAGATAGATCCTCATAAACCTTTTAGATATTCTAAAATCAATGCTATTTTTGTGAAGTAGGCATGCCACTGCACGTCGCACGTGATACCATAATACGCCGTATTATTATAAATAACTTATGTTTATTGACATTATCACAATAAATTTGGGAATTAATATTAGGTATATTAATAATATTCTGGATCGCTGATAGATATATTGCTATAAATACATTAATAATATATATTAATAAATTAAATACATTCACATTAATTTATAATATTGTTATTAAAAACAAAAAAAAAAAACAAATAATTTTAAAAGTTCAATAATTCACAAGTGAGCAAATTTCCGACCACAAAATGTTGGTGCTCCTAAACAACTGGCCCCCTGAGCAATTGTAACCAATGCCCCTCTAAATGCGACCCTGAGTGCAGTGTTTTTATATGTAAAAAATAATAATACACAATTAAAATATTTTCCTATGTATGCTGTTTGATTGAGTGTATATTAGAACAAACTTGTTTTCGAATAAAAATTAATTGATGGGTTGTGGTTAATGGATATTTGTTGAATATAAATGTAAATAAAACTACATTGTTAAAATACCTAAATTATGTTAAGTATATTATTTTTGCTTTTTATTTGTAATCAAAAGTTTTAAGTACCTATAAATTATTTTTTATATGCAATAAAAATGATTAATTAATGAGTTTTAAGCATTTATTAAGTAATTTCATCATAATAACATTGGATCAAATCAACGGGAAGACGATAATTTGTGTTCGATCTTTTTTGTTTTAATTTGTGAAATTATGTTCATATTATATTTAAAGATATATAATACGTTCACTTATTGACACAGTTGGTATTTTCTTTATAATTTGTCATAACAAGCCTGCCTGCAAAAGTGTAAAATATTAGTTTCTCAGCGTACCATAAATTTGTTTCCATGTCGAGGAAGAGTATCGGTATGATTCTTATCTTTTCACTACTATGTGAACTTTTGAAATAAACGCAACAATAGAGTCATGTAATTAATATTATTGTAAACTTGACTAGTTAACAGGTTTTCTAGCGACTCACTTTTCTTTCATTATTCTGTATAATCTAAAAAAATGTTTTAACCCTCACATTTATTTAAAATTGTTGAAATATTGAAAAAGTATTATCCACATTCATAGCCAAACTTATTTTGAATATTTTAGTGTATACGAAAATAAATCTTTTTATTTATTTAGGTTTTAACTGTTTGCGAGCGAGACGCGCATTATGTTATCAGTGTTCCAGTAAATGCTGCAACCTATGCATTCACGTTATTATTAATATGATTTTTATTTGAATTCCCCATGAGTTATTATTAGGTTTCGTTTATAGATGTATTATAGGTATCGATATTTGTTTACATAATAGCAGGCCATACACGGAAGGTTATTCCGTCAGTTTTGGAATGGCATTCCAAAACAAACTGTCGATCAGATCGTCAGTTCTAGTCCGTCGCGGTACAGAACTTTTGATACCCATTCACTGTCATACCAGATCTGCTGATTTAGCCCGCCCCCTTGGAATGTAACGACTAGATATGTAGGTATATGTTCAAAACTGTCAATTTTCCTGTGGTTAAGTGGTGTTGCTAGATCTTTTGTCGTGTAAGAAATATTTTTTGCCATTCCTACGGAACAGTACTTAGTACGTAGTTTAATCCACATAAAATGTATAAAAATAAAAAAAGAAGATTGTAATTATATGTGCTATGGCAATCGTTGCGCACGAAATTTCAAAAAAAAAAAAAAAAAAACCGAAAACATCGGTATAAAAATGGATAGAACAAAAAAGCGAACAAAGTAATGTAACTCTTCTAAAAGGTTTAAAAGTCTACGAGACGTGCGTATGCTTTATTTTTTAAGTTTCGATTAGTGTATTCTTTACTTTTCAGTTGCCATAAACAATTATATTGTTTATAGCAACTAATAAAATCTACGAGCAACTCCTTACTCCACTCGGAAGAAGACATAGCAAGAGAAATAAAACAAGTAGATACAAATTTTAATTTAAAAAAAAAATCAACGACACCACTAGGAGTGTGTTCAGTGTGTACAACTAAAAGTTTGGACTGTAGACTGTGACCGTCCATACACGTACAAGTCAAATAATAATACTTTTCTTCCAAAAATATAACGTTCGATTCTCGGTCTGTGATATTTTTATTCCATATACGTACAAACCAATATGAGCGATTTGATCGGTCAAGGGACAAATCCGACAGTTAACCTTCCGTGTATGCCCGGCTAATGTGTGTGCTGGGTATAATGTAAAGAAAATGTTTTAATCATTGTTCGCATAGTAGATAATATATATTTATTTTGATTATTTCGACACTACCTGTACACCGTGCGATACTTCCGTTACTCGTAAGTATATGCATTTTAATTATTTTTATCACATTGACGCGTTAATAAAAATAGCCTTGGTCACGTTTTACTGTTGCACAAAAACACACTAATCGTAATTAATAATTATGTATTTTAAAAGTGTGGCCGGAACACAAAATGATACAACATATTCGATCGTTATAAGTTGTTCTAATCGTTAAAGGACCATTCAAATCATCAAATTTTCTTTGGCTTAAATTCAGTGGCGGATTTAACGGTCGTTTAGTCGGCGAATGCCGACGGGGCCCCTTCTTAAATTATTCACTGAGGCCCTGAAAAATGATAGTAATTTTTTTTTAAATTTTACCGGAAAAAAAAATTATGGTACAAATTGTAATATCGTTTACAATTACTATTTTTATTTATAACAAAATAATTTAAATATACAGGAAATACTCAAGAGTACTCCGAATACTTCAAAAATAGAACATTTTATTTATAAACAAAGTAAAAAAGATCGAATATAGATATAGTTAGAAATACTGTTAATATTGATTATAGAATTCATATAATTTCCGAGTATGTACACTATACAAGTATATGAACAATGATTTATTATCAGTTTCGCTGCATTACGTTATTTCTAATGTACTATTTTCCATTTTCGTATCGCGAGTGTAGCGAGTAGCTTTGTAAAATGGGGCTAAGGATTTTAGTGATACATTTATTACGAGGCCCCTCTTTTGGATTTGCCGACTTTATTTGAACCTTTAAATCCGCCAATGCTTAAATTATTGTGCGCACTATAATGGAAAATGATACCACTTGGTATTATACCAATTATAATTATTATGATATTATACCAATTGGTATTTAATATTTTCTGTTTATTTTACTGTTGTAATAAAAAAGTATTTGATTCATGTTATCGATGGTATTTTTACAATATTTTAGTTTTGCTGTTACCTAAATATCTGTGCTAAAATAATTTGTTATTATTTCCTTACTAATGAGATGTAACTCACTTTAACTCACTATTTTGAAAAATAAACTTACTATTTTCACTATTTTTAAGTACTGGAGCTGCTAGAAAGCCTGCCAGTTAATGTTTTTATATATTTTAATATATGTTTTTTTATGATTTTAACAAATGTTTATGTTGCAATATTATTAGTTTATTGCTTTAAATTAAATTTTATCTAGTTAATTAATAAATAAACATTTAATAAACTGTTTTTCTTTTAACTCAAACATTCAAATTACAAATTATCAACAATACTAAATGTAATTCATCACTTTATTTAAAACTTTATAATAGCATAATTTTTAAAATTAAATTGTATTAAGATTAATTTAAAGAAAAAACTTCAGCGTTTTTATAAAGAATTAATAAATTAATAACTTTTATAAACTATTTTAACTACAAAGAAAATAAACAAATAAGATTATGTTATAATTGTATATTCTTGACTATTAAAGTCATTTAGCATTAAATACAATTTGAACTATACACTGCTGTTTGGACCAAAGTACTTTTTATAGTAAATTAATGTTTTATTAAAAAATTTAGTAAATTATTTGAATACACATTTCTTACCCTATTTTGTGAATTTGTTTAACATTTTAAACAAGCATTCTTCAAGTATTTTTGAAATTTAAATACCACATGTATTGATTACTTTTGATTAATATAAACTTAGTAATACACTTAATACATTGCATATAAAATGGTTCCCTTGGACTTCTGCAGTCAACTCGGAAGTATAACGAGGATTGGTCAGGCATTAAAAAAAAGAAATCAAAGAAAGATCAAAGTTACAGTCTCTTTCGGTTTGTTACATATAATCAAACATGAACATTAATTATTTGATATTATAAGATAACAGGAAAGTTAAACAACTAATATAAAAAAAAGGAAAGAAAAGTGCAGCACTCTAAATATATTCTTAACCACTAACATGAATTACTTTAATATAATTATGACTAATTAATCTATTTCATAAACAAAATAACATGTTCATACTTTATTAATAAAATGCCCAATTATTTTTTAAATTAAAATAAATTTGACTTAACAATTATTGCTTTTGATAAATAAAAATTACACCCAACTGAAATATTTTAAATTTTTGTAATAAAAAAAAAAAAATAAGAATTATATAAATGCAATTTATGCCAGAATCAATGACAATAAAAAAAAAGAAAAAAAATTATATTACCATTATTAGGTTAATGACAATTTTATATTTAATCAATCTTCATTAATTCTTTTAAATACCAAGCAGAAAAAGGCATTAAGAAGAGATTTTTTTACATTTAATATACATATATCGTAATTACTGAATGTCATGTATTTGGGCATATTAAAATAAGTGGTATACTAATGGAACTACTACACATTTTTGGATTATTCTGGTCCGTAGTTTACATTTCATAATAGTAAAGAACTTGTAATGATGTACAGATTGGAAATTAATTTATATACTATACACTACGCAAAACTTCAAAACTTCAAGTCTCTATATTTACCAGACATGAACTTCGCGGATTTCACTTATGATATGATTGGCGTTTTGCAAAGCCTGTCGAGAAAAAAACAAATTATTTTCCATTACATGTACTGAAGAAATGCGTTTTTAATTTCTACAAATACGCACTTTAAGCATATCAACAGCATCTTTCCTACGGTTTGATATATGAACAGATTCATTAAGTAACTCTTCTACTTGTTCGGATTTGTATAAATGGGTGACTAGTTCAGATTGCAAATTGTTTTTCACAAAATTTACCAAAAAGTGCATTATAGCCTTTGGAACACTATCTTGAATCGATTTTCTTACAATGTAGAAATATGATTTGATCAACCTTTCTATAATTCAAGGAAACATTAATTTAATATGATTATTCCAAAGAGATACAAAAATACGCACCAATAACATCGCAATCACGTAGCTCCTTCTCAGATAGGTTTCTGTTAGATGGACTTTGTAAGTCTATACTGTTGAAGCTATTGGCTACAGTAGAGGATAGATCATTCATTTGGTGCACCGGTGTTGTGGCTGGAGAAGATTCAACCGAATTTATTTCATTGCTCATGTCTGGTTGATGTTTCGGCGTTTTTTTCAATGATCCAGTGCTAGTATTCTTAAAAACCAAACAATTTAATCACATGATTATTAAAAATAAACAGCTAAAATAAACATATACTCACATCTATAGAATTGTTAACATTGAATTTTCTCAATGTACGTTGTCTTGAATATTCGTCTTCTTCAGCACTTTTCATCATCAGCGATACAAGTTCTGCATCTCTATGGAAATCTGGGTGTTTAGTGTTAATGTAAGCCAGTTCAATGGCTACCAAGTTTTCAACCTGTTAATTATCATATGATAATATAAGTAAACAATAAATATTTGGTTATGGTGATTTGAAAACCGACCATTGAGTTGGTTGTTGGCAAACGTCTGCGCAGTAGTTGTGTTACTACGTCTACAATACTTTCGTGAAGTTTAGGAAAACGGATCATTTCTTGTTGGGACTCTATACCACAGTGTTGGATCATGCGTTGCATTTCCTCGTGTACAAGTTCTACACATCGCAATGATGGTTCTTCTAACCGACGGATTTGCCTTTTCACTAATAATTCAAAAGATACTTCTGGAACAAACAATGCTGGTCTAGGTCCTGTTGCATTTCGTATGGCAGTTAACACGTCCATTTTAGATAATCCAGTTAGTGGATGAATGGAATCTAAGACCTTGCCAAATGTCTCATGAAATATATAACATATACGAGCGCCACCGCATCTACAGTAAATTTAATTATTTAGTATAATATATGCAAAATAAATTACAATTATAAATTACAATTCAGTCGTTTCAATATTTTTGGAGGTACCATCAATTGTGGAACAATATGCGGCAGCAAACTTCGTTATGATTTGTAACAGCGTTTGGCTCTTATCAGACACATCATCACCAAATGAATACAACAGTGATTGAAATTGTGAAACCATTACGTTCACTCTAGTCTAAGAATACATTTACTAGTCAATATAACTGTCAATCAGACATTTTGTTTAATTCTAAAGATATACGGTACGGATCAGTTTTAAAAAGTGAACATTCTAAAAATAGCTTCTAGGTTTCATTTTATCAAAAGAACAGAGTTTATTTGATTAACAACAATTATATAAACACTATACTAATAAACATATTTATTTCTATAAATAATAATTTAACGTATATTATCTGTTACATTGACAGTCAGATTATAAAATTATATTCTATTAAATAGATATATCATTGTTTAGTGTATTAAGTTTAATTTATAAGTAAAATATAAATTAGTTTTTAAATAATATGTTATTTTTAATGAAGAGTTAATGTTAAGGGTTATTATTATTATTATTATTATTAGTAACTATAGCCTAATATTATTTGTTTTACAAATCCAGGTATACTAAAATTATTTTAATTGCTATTATGATGAATGTTTTAGATTAATAATAAATAAATACAAAACAAAATTATTAAAACATTTTACCTTTAAGTTTGGCAAACAATCTCGAATATGGTGCATTAAAAGCCTGTTGAGTGCTTTGGTCAAATATGGAGTACCATTTCTATTAGCCAATGAAGGGTATTTCCTTTGTAAGAACATAGATTCATCTTTAAGCGCATCAGATATTGACTAAAATTAAATTAACAAATAAATATAAAAATATTTCAATAATTTTTTTAGCATACATACTTTATTGTCATTAATATCTTGTTGTGATCGATTCACAACACCAATTATACCAAGTTTTACGGGAATTACACGTCCACATAGTATATCAACAGCATCTGTACCTGTAACAAAATAAGCAATTTAGTTATAAGATACAAATTGGTAAAAAAATGTAGTACCAGCATCCATTAAATCAAGTTTTGTAATCACTGCTAAGGTTCTTTTTCCTTCTGGATCTACTTCTTTAGCTAATTTTAAACTTTCACTAGTTGACATATCTGTATTAGCAGTGCTTACTGCTAAAATGATTGAATTTGGATTTTGAATATACTTTATAACCAAATTTTTTACTTGAATTTCAATATCTTCCGGTTGATCACCCACAGGAACCTAATGTTTTTAAATTTAATTAAAATGAATGATACCAATCTAGGTATTTAAATATTAAAACTTACTTTGGTTATTCCAGGTAAGTCCACGAGTGATAAATTTAACACGTGTATGGAGTATATTTTAAGACTAATTGGTTCAGGGCATATTCCTTTATTGCTGCCAGCAACTCTATTTGTCTCAGCTTGAATTTCTTCTCGAATTTCATTAAAATCTTTGAAAATCTTTGATTTACAATGAAGAAATTCACCCCATTCCTCCAAATTTATTGTACCTATAATATATTTAAGAATATAAATTAGATACCCAATAACTATTAAAATTAACAAACAAATTATAAACCAATAAATAATTATTACTACTATTATAATGTTATACAAAAAGAGATACCAAGAAGCTCACTCTATTTTTTAATTTACTTTTTTTTTTAAATTTGCATTAAGTCATTGTCTTAAATTAATTGATAGTTAGTATATGTATTTAAATTTTAAAATGAAATAGTTATATGGAAAAAAAAGAATAATAAAATAAATATTTACTTAAAATTTATATAGGAACTAATTACCTAATACATGCTTGTATTATAATAAAATGTATTACAAATTTTATATATATATATATATATATTACAGATATAGCTTTGGTGATTTATATGTTTTGAAAATTAACCTTCTAATAACTAAGTTGCCATTTCTGTTGTCATACAAAAAATATAAATTTCATATAAATAAATATATAAAAGATAAATATTATTATATACATAAATAAATATATAAAAGATAAATACTATTATGTATATAAATAAATATTACCATGTTCAGCACTTCTGTGTTCTTTGTCATTAAGAGGGCAATTGACTAGTTGTAGAATTAAAGGACATCTAGTGACAATTCCAATGCCTCTGGGTAAGAAAGATCGACCAACAATACTTTCTATAACTGAGCTTTTACCGGAACTCTATAGGTTATAAAAAAAAATTAAGTTTTATATTTGCTAAAATTATACAATTTCTAAGTAAAAATTCTAATCATTTTTTGAATGAAAAAATAAAGCTTAATCAAATAAAATTGAACAACTTTTTGGTTAATGTAATAATCTTAATTTAATTGAAAAATGCACATATTGGTATTTCTAAATGACAATCTTTCAAATCCAATCATAAAGTAATATACCATTAGTATAAATTTATCAATGATATTTAATCTGTTTCTATAATAAATGTAGTCATTAATGATTAATAATTACAAATAAATAAAAAAATATATAACATTTTAAATTATAATAAAATTATTATTTGTTCTTACTTTTAATACTTATTGTATAGAGTTTATTGGAGTATAATATACATAAAAAGAGTAACTTGTTAATAAAATTAATTATATATATTAGTATGATAAGACTTATGTGTGTAAACTTTAAATTGTAAACAAAATAATGATACGCAAAACTATAAATAAATATCAGTTTTCTTTATAGAAAACAATTTAATTGCCTGTATTATTTTCATATATTTTATAATTACAAATAATATATTTATTGTTATATTTATATTTATATTTATTGCTTTAATTAGTTATAGGAATTAAATTAACTTCAAACTAAAATAGATTTGTGGAAGATAAAACTATGGAAATATTCTATACTCGACTAATTTATGGACCCTCATAAATAATCAGTACAAAATTAAATTTGCAAAGCAGTTTTAAAGAATTTTAAAATATTCAGAAGTAGTGTTGCGTAAATATGCATGTAAAACTAAACTGATAAAAGTAATACAACATCATCACAAAAAACTAAATACTATATCAATATTAATTGATTGTATTATTTCTTCCTTAATAGGAAACATATGCTTAAGATCAAGGTTGTTTTATTAGCAAAGTATATTGGACTAAGGCACAATTGAAATAGCAATTAGTGCCTAAGAGAGAATAATGGCCTTCTGATAATTTTTACCTCTTTAAATCTATACATATTTGATAGAAAACTCAATTGCTAATGGTTTTGCATCTATGAATGCATAAATTATGTAAATAATAGTTGAAACCTGATTCGTATAAGCAGGTAGAAAACAATAATTGCATTCGTACAGCGATAAACCACTAAATGGAAAGAATAGCGGTAGAGTGGATGAATGCATTCGGAAGACGGTAATGAATGGCCATGGTAACTAACCTGAGATCCGACTACAACGATTTGTGGGAGCTGTATGGCATCGTAGCCAACGGTGTTGAAAACGTCTTGCAGTCGGTTGATGACCGGGATCAACGCCTCCATTGTGAGGGCCGCTAGTTTCACTGACCACAAGCGTGATTCGTCTCTTGGGATGTCGACGACGAACGACCGGCAAGTGTGGGTGCGTTCTGCCGTGCGTACACTCGTACGTCTCACTTGCACCCGTTTCGGCCGTGTGGGACGCTACAAGCTCAGGCTACTGTGACCGTCCTACGACGATTGCTGCGTTGCACGTACGGAAATCGGGACGATGTCGACTGGGCGAGACAATGGCAGTCAACGGACGCGAAACGTTGGACGGCGTCAACGCGTTGGCAATGCAACGGAAACGGAACGTAGGCGACGATCGGCACACTGCTGAACTCAGTAGATAACGATAAAGATTTTCTGTTTTTTTTTTTCTCTCTCACCCCGTCTCGCGGCCGATCGGCGGCGGCGGTCTTGTGTCGAACCGCGGTTACCTCTGGTAACGGCTGTAACGACGGCGGCAATTCGACGTCTGCTGCGATAACAGCGACCCGCGATCGAACGGGGAACGTCGCGTCGTTTGACAACGGCTATCGCAGTAAACGAAATACGTAAAATCTATCGTATTTCAACGACTCGAATCGTTATTGATTCGACGGTACAACATGTTAAATTGTTCCAGATATTATTTCCATATGCTTCGGTTTTCGTATCATGGATACTGTAATGATATGCGCCTAAACATTCATATATTTTTAAAAAATTGAATGTATAATTAAATAATTATAATAATCAGTACACGTTAAATATAAGAATAAATCGTAAGTACTAAAGATAAAATATGACACACACACGTACACACATACACACGCGCACACACACAGGCGACATTAAATATAAGGAGCAACATTTTCAAACACAGGAGAGACGTGTTCTTATTGTAATTTTGTATGGATGATCAAAGGCGAGTGTAAAAGACTACGCGGATCGTCTATGCGAAAGGACACAATCAATTGTAAACGTTTTATAATAACGTGTTAATGTATGTATAAGTGATTTAAATAAAATTAATATAAGTGAATTAAAAAAAGAAAGTTATTGTTATTTTAAAATATAAGTTGGTTACCTTATTCCATACCTAAAGAGTCGACCACGGTTTTTAAGAGACAGGCCGATTCAATCATTGGAGAGGTAATATTGTTTATTTATGATGTAATAAGTAATGATTTAAAAAACATATAAGTATTTCACACATAAATTAATATAAAACTATAATAATAAATCATTACAATACGTTTAATGTTGTTTTTATTTTTTTTCGTGTTTTTTTGAATTTTTTTTCCTCTGAAAATGTGTTTTTATAATTATACAGCGATAAATAATTTTGGTTCGACAAAAAGTTTAAAAAATTTAATACTAATTTCCTCGTACATAACTTTGACTAATTAAAAACAAACAAGGCAAATAAAAATTAATAAATAATAACGATTGTTTAAATATTAAATTTGACAAAACGATAAAAATCACGAAAATCACTACGTATTTTTAATGAAAAATTAATTAAGTTTTCTAATTTTTATACTTTTTTATTTTTATTTTTTTTTTATTTAGAACTTTCAGCAAAAACTATTATAGTTCGACAATTACATTAATATCTACAAGAAACAGGTATAATAACAATGCAGGTAATAATAAAGTGTAGATGGTGATATATGATAAAAAATTAATATTAAAATAATAATAATAATAATATTAATGAACGTGTATAGATAATATATATAGAATTTAGTATAGGTATCATAATAGCAATATACGTTTCGGTGGTGCCGTGAATTATAATGTTAGGGTAAAATAATATAAGATAAGTTACATTAAACGATAACAGTATTAGATAATTTATTTATGAATTTGTTTGCTTATTAGATATGGAAATGATGAAAGAGTTAATTATAGAAGTTAAATCAGAGAGAAATTTCGTTAAAATGGAGTTGGTGATGTAAATCGGTGGGGCAGATAGCGTGACGTTTTGTTTATTAAGAATTGACGGCTCGTTGTTTTAATTTGCAAGAGCTGGTTTTTCGTTGGTAACTGATGAACTAGTGGATGTATACGAGGATCATCGGAGTCCAAGACGGCAAATCGATTAGGTGTAACGAATATTTTTAATTTTTTACTTTCGTCAGCTTTTGGTGACATTGACGAGTTAGATAAATTAAGTTTGTTAGAACAATAGGTGCCCATACACGAGAGGATTTTAAGACGGATTTGGTCTGTGATGGACTAAATCTTCTAAAAAGTCCTACCGTGTATGGTGTTCTAAGGATTGAATCCTTAAAAACTGAAAATCTGGCAGATTTAGTCCGATGGATTAAGTCTCTCGCTTCTCTACTAAAAGTATTAAAAAGATCGGGTCCGGCGGACATCGATGAGAAATTTTTATTTATTGATAATAATTTTTCTTTTATCCTTATCATTGATACAATAACATCTATTTACTTATCAACGGTTAGTTTAAGATTTTTTTTTAAATTTATTAATTTGTAAATCTCAGTGTTTTTGATTGAATTTTCTTTTTTTAAATAATAATTCTTTACATCTCGTTCAACTCTTTTAATAATGGCATATGACCAAACAAGTCCCTTCTAGTGAGCCAGTTTTTGACCCACTTAATTTTTATTTTTCTCTTCGAGGTATAACGGTACACGACCATCAATCCTGCAGCAGCTATCAATTTTTTTTTCTCGAAGGCATATTATTATTATTATGTTTATTCATATTATTAAATATGAATTATATATTTAGAATATATGAGTATAAGATAATATTTACTTAACACAAATTAATAACATAACAATAATAACTGATTATTCCGTCGTATAAATCCGCAGGTCTTTCAGTACGTCTTGAAGGATCAAAGGACTAGGTCCTTAGCACAAAAGTTAACGGATTTCCATCATTAACTAGCGGATTTAGTCCGCTGATGGATTCGATCCGTGAAATATAGCGGATTTTTATTTTCACGTTAGTGGACACAACTTAGGACCTAGTCCGACGGATCAAATCCATCGAGGACCTAAGGATTTAATCCGTCAGACCAGATCCGTGATAAAATCCATTTTAAAATCAATTCGTGTGTGGCGGCCGAATGCGTACGAGGCAGACCGCCACCGGTGTCGTGTATTGTGTCTATCATATTAGAGAGATAATTAAATCATATTGAACGTGAAAACGCGATAACGGAGCTCATAAGGCAAAACACGTGCGTGTATGTTGAGTATTATAGCAGAACTAAATTTTTTTACTTACAGCTTGAAAATTAAATACCAGATTTCGCATATGATTTTTTTTTTTGGCCACAAAAAATACAATAGTTGAAAGTCGTAAAAATGATTTGTGAGTGTTACAAGATGAAATGTTGACGAAATACTAATATTTCAACGAATTTCCATTAAGTGGTATAAGTTAAAGATATTTCATAGTTTTGAATTATATGAATTAAGTTTGTGCTATTTATTGGAATTTGAAATATTCCCTAATTTTATATACACCTTTTTTGTTGCGAAAGTTGAACTTATTATTTAGAAATTTGGTTTTTTACTTTGTTAAATATCATTAGAAATATAAACTGATCTACCTGACCTCTTTCATTGAAAATATATTTTCGAAAGCAATGGTGCATTGATTTCAAGTTTATATACCTAATCATTTCAGTAATACTATTCATCCATAATATATCTCCGTCCCTTTGAACGTCCTTTTGAAGTAATAATAATTACAATAATTTATAGTCAAGTATTATTTTATTCTACTAATCTATTAATCACAAATACCTGATATACTTCAATTCATAGAACACAATAATAATTATCTAATTAATAACTATCTTCTTGTCCATCATCACGAATCATATAGATGAATAATTATTATGCACCAGTGATAGTATCATTTTATTACGTGGTATCCACTTAAGTAACTTTTGGTTATAATATTAATTTGTAACTTCTAAGTTAAAATTTGTATATGTGTATATGCACCTATAGGCCACGGTATTGTTTACAAAACCGTGCTATAGATTATATCTCCATTTGTATAATTCATGATAAATATGATATGTTTAATATATAATTTATGGGAATAAACTAATAAACTAAAATGTATCGGTTTAATAATAACGAATATCTTCATTTATAACTTAAATAAGTGTTTTATTTTAAAAAAGTATTTTGTTTTGTTTTTATAAAATAATAAGTGTAATGTAGTCGTAGATTAGCGTTATTAAACTAAAAAATGTTATGTACCTATAATGAATTTATTTTAATTTTGTATTAATAAGTCGATTATTGATTGGTTTTTTGATCAATAATATTAATATTTCAATTATTTTAATCAAGTGAATATCTCGATTATTATTATATCTCTATTACTAACTTTTCGATTATTCCCATCACTAGTTTATACACTAGCACAGCGGTCGGAATAACTAGATCGTCAACATATTTTACTTAAATGCATGAATTACATTTTTTTTAAATAATTTTTATAACGATTTATGAAAAAAATGAATATTTTCTTATTTTATTTAGCATTCTTATTTGATTTTACTTGATTAAGATTACAACTGTCTCAAAACAAAATAATTTCTTTCCATGGAATCCCTTTAATTTATTATTTTAATCTTCCGACTGAGAGACTCTAATAAAATAATTTGCCAACTCCTTTTAGAGAGCAAAAAATTATACTGATTTCAAATAAAATTTTTTGCGTGAGATTTATATGTATTCTTATCGCTCTATTGAATACTATAATAATTATTTTTCATGTAATTATTTTTCATTTTAATGTATTAATTGGGTGACTATAATAATTATTGTGAAAAATAAAAATGTATTTAAAGTCTTTATAACATTTATAAACTTTTCGAAACGCATACAAATATATAGGGGCGGACTGAGGCCCTGAAGGCCCAGATGGGTGTACATTTTAAAACTACCAAACAAGCGACTCATGTTAGTTGTTACAATTTTTATTTTAAATAAAAAAAACTTTTTAAGGAAGATGAAAGATGGCTGTATCAATAAGTGGTAAAAATACCACAACACGAAGATTTTCTTTATTTATATCATCTCATATCACCATCTACATCACCGAAAAATCTTTTAGAAAAAACACGACGGCGAATAGTTGGTTGGATTGGTATGGCCCATATATTGCATTGGTCAGTTGCAGATGAAACTATTTCTTCATACTGGTTTCTTAAATTTATCATGGAAATTGTAGCTTGATTTAAAAATGCACATGCATCATGAAGATGAGTATCTATTCTTTGCAATTTTTTTAGCTACAAGATGGAAATTCCTTAAAATATTTTCCCATATTGTTAACAACAAAATAAATTCAAATGATTCATTTTTTTTTTTTTTTTT